TAGAGGTGTGGTGTGGGGGGATTTATTAGGCAGCAAGTGAACATTTTGCCCCTGAAGTTGATGTGTTGGAAGCAGAAAAAATGGACAAGTGTGAGTATTTGAGGGACTTTGACAAGGGCCAAATTGTGATGTCTGGGTCAGAGCAACTCCAAAACTGCAGCTCTTGTGGGATATGGTAGAGAGTGGGAGCAGAGGGGATGTGGGCGAGAATGGGAGCAGAGAGGTGATGAGGGTCACAGGTGGTTTCCTCACTGGAGGATTGGGGGGTAATAATAGATGGGGACGGATTTAGCTAATAAAATAATGCACTCAGCTGAACCCAACCCAGGCAGGTTGGGTTCAGCTGAGTGCGCACATTCATCTGCACTGTGAGAATACATCTGTTACATTGCTGTTCAGTGGATATACGTCCGTTACATTGCTGGTCAGTGTATATACCTCCGTTACATTGCTGGTCAGTGGATATACCTCTGTTACATTGCTGGTCAGTGGATATACCTCCGTTACATTGCTGGTCAGTGGATATACCTCCGTTACATTGCTGGTCAGTGGATATACGTCCGTTACATTGCTGGTCAGTGTAAGGCCTCCAAACTAATTTTATTACACAGGATTTTTGCCACATTCAACCCAACAGCAGCCACAACAGACGTCGCAGGACTCAGCAGAACGTTCCGTGTCACATGATGTTTTCTATTTATAATATATAAAATGTGCTTGCAGTGTAATTGGTCGATTCCACAGGTGATGAATTTGCGAGCAAAAAAAGCACAAAAAGTGGATGTGTTGTTTAAATTTAATCTACCATTTGGCCTCATTTAGGTCATTTGGGGTTCAGTGACAAAGTCGGTTTATTCTGTGTGTTTCAGATATTCAAAATTTTGTTAATGCACTTTAATGGCAATTCAAATAAAAAGGCCACCAAAATCCTCAGCACCAGGCCCCTGATGCTCTTAATCCGGCCCTGACGTTGGTTAACAGTCCAGCAGGGAGCAGATAGGAGAAGTTCACCCTTCCGGGTGACATTTTATTCATTGATTATTTTTCTATACAGCCAACCTTACCTGGGATGTAAGAGGTACACATGATCCTCATTACCCTGTGACGCTGGGCCTCTAGATGTGGTAATATGGCCTCCAGAGAGTAATTAGCCTCCTCCGTTAACATGAAAACAAACAGGAGGAAGGTGGAGGGAAGGAGAGAGCGAGGAAAAAACCCAGAAGAGCCGAGAATAAAGAACGGTCGGCTTGATGAAAAGGTCGGCGGGAGGATGAAGGAGAAGATCTGAAACAACCGAACAAAGCCAACAGCTGAGAGGGGACCGCTCACAACATGAACCAATCACCTGGGAGAGCCGGAATGCTTCATCTCACGTGTCCCTGATTCTGTTACTTTTTAAATACAAGTACGATGGTTACATTCTGCTTGCAAACAGAGAAGGTGACGGCTTAGACCCCGGAACATTGTTAATTATGATTATGATTCCGGACGGATTTTTTTTCTTATGGAAATCTCATGGAGAAACATATAACCTTCAGGACCGGTCGGCGGCAAGTAATGAGACGGCGTGAAGGTGAGCTCGATTTTGTGGTCCAGATCATTGATGGTGGTGGATGTTCTTCCAGATCCCTCAAGAATAAAAATCCTAACTCTTAACCCTAACCCAACTCCAATCCCTAACCATTACCTCTAAACCTAACCCCTCACCTCTAACTCTAACCCTAAATACTAACCCCTAATTCCTAACTCAACCCCTAACCTTTAACCCTTAACTCTGACCCTAACCCCTCACCTCTAACTCCAACCCTAAATACTAATTCAACCCTAACCTTTAACCATTAACACCAAATCCTAATCGTAACCGCTCACCTCTAACTCTAACCTTAAATACTTACTCCTAATTCCTAACCCAACCCTAACTCTAACCTTTAACCCTTAACTCTAAACCATAAACCCTCACCTCTAACTCTAACCATAAACTCTAGCCCCTAATCTCCAACAAAACACTAACCTGAAACCTAAGCCTAACCCAACTCTAAACCCTAACCCTACTCTCTAACCCTTAACCCTAATCCAACTCTAACCACTAACCCAACCTTAATCCAACTCTAACCTCTAACCCTTAACCGAACCCCTCACCTCTAACTCTAATCCAATCCTAACCCAACTATAACCCCTAACACTACTCTCTAACCCTTAACCCTAATCGAACTCTAACCCCTAACCCAACCCTAATCCAACTCTAGACCCTAACCTCTAACCCTTATCCCTAACCCCTCACCTCTAGCCCTGAATACTAACCATTAATTCCTAACGCAACCCTAACCCTAAACTTTAACCCTTAACTCTAACCTCTAAACCTTCACCTCTAACTCTAATCATAAACCCTAACCCCTAATCTCTAACCCTAATCCAATCCTAACCCAACTCTAACCCCTAACTCTACTCTCTAACCCATAACCCTAACCACTTACCCAATTCAAACTCTACTCTCTACTTCTAACCCAACTCTAACCCAACCCTAATCCAACGCTAACCCCTAAGCCTAACCTCTAACCCTTAACCCTAACCACACATCTCTAACCCTAACCCTATTCCCCCACCCACACCTAACCCAACCCTAACCCCTAACCTAACTCTATCCCCTAATCCCTAACCCAACCCTAACCCTTAACTCTAACTTCACCCTATCCTAACCCTCATCTACCTTTGCCTCCATTCACACGGACCTCTTGCATCTCATTCATATAATCGCAGGAGGTCAACGGTAGACAAGAACCGCATCTGACCCGAACATTGTGGTTGTGTCCGGACTTTTTGCTCCTGAGGGAATTGATCTGAGAGGTTTGAATAAACTTTCTACCTCCCAGACCAATTCTTTCTGCATTTATGTGCGTAGGATGCATCTGATCTGACTCACAGAATTCTATTTTTTCTGAACGCACATGAGCGCTGTAACTGTACAGTGTGAATTAGGGTGGGTGAACACCACAGCACGATGTCAGCGCATGTCCATTGACATGCACTGAGCATATGTGTTTGTGCGTATGCTGGGAATGTGTAATGCTCGTTGTGGTGCTTTTTTCTTCTAGAGATGCTTAACGTTGCATTTACACGAATGTCGCTGTAAAATGATGCCAACATTGAGGTTTATATGGACAACGCATGGCTTTTTGACTTGTCTTTGCCTTGGGACTGCGTTGGGCCAAAATTAGGAAGGGAACGAAGGAGGGAGGACTGGTGGGGAAAAGAAAGTAAGGGAAAAGAAAAGGACAGGGGTAAAATAAGAAGAGAAGGGGAGAGGACAGGTGGGGAGCGGAAAGGAAGGGGAATGGAAATGGAAGGGAAAATATAGGAAGGCAAGGGGAGAGGATAGGTGGGGAAAGGAATGGAACAGAAGGGACAATAGGGAGGGGAGGGGAGAAGTGGGGGAAGAAATGGAAATAAAAGGGAAAACATGGGAAGGGAGGGGAGAGGACAGGTGAGGAAAGGAAAAGAGAGGAATGGAAATGGAAGGGAGTTGGGAAGAGAAGGGAAGAGAGGGAATAGAAAAGGACAGGGGTACAATAAGAAGGCAAAGGGAGAGCAAAGGAAGGACATGGAAATAAAGGGTAAAAATAGGAAGGGAAGGGGGGGAGAGGACAGGTGGGGAAAGGAAAGGAAGGGAATAGAAAAGGACAGGGGTAAAATAAGAAGGCAAGGGGAGAGGAAAGGAAGGAAATGGAAATGAAAGGGTAAAAAGAGAAAAGAAAAATTATTCAAAAGAACTCGTCCCCCAACTTACACCCGCGGTCAGCCATTGGAACACCCAGTATCAACGAGCAGGAATCCACGGAGAACTGCGGCAGCAGGTGAGCCGCCCACCATGAGGAGCTGTCAATAACAGCACATATAATAATTTGGATGGAGTGGAGAAGGGTTCAAATCCCCTGTTAGGTTTTTATTATTGTCTGTGTCCACGTTATGGAGATTCAGCCTCTTTATTTGTCCTGGTGACCGTTATCAGTGAAAGTGAAAGAAAATCCCAAATTTTGGTGTTGTCACCAGAAGAGGAAAAGATGGGAAATCTTCCAATGGCAACACTCGTTCTGGTGACCCTGCTGACCACCAGGGATTTCCTCACTTTGAAGGGATTTCCTTTCAATTCCTGTTGTGACTGTTGGACAGGAAGTGAAGCTAAATCTCCCCAATGCAACAAATATTGCAACAACAAAAAAAGCTGACAGCGGACATAACCCTCCCTTGCTTTATCTAAAACTGAATAAAAATGGCTTCAGTTCTGCTTTAATTGACAGTGAATTGGAGCGTAGCCAGTGCGCACTAGTAACTATCAATAATGCTAATATTGGTATCGGTATTATCATTCCTGTGGCCAGGCTATGAATATTCTGGTATTCACACAAACCTATCAAGCAGTTAATGTACTTTAAAACAAGACCACAGACCTCTGTAGCTGCATGCATTGTGCAGCAATTCATCCTCATTCTCTCAGTAGCTCAGCTACCCCTGCTCCTCCCTCCCAGCAGTGATTTGGCAGCTTAGCTCACTCTGCTTCCCCCTGCCATACGTTCACTAACTATCTTTTTGTTAACATATTATAGTGTACAAAGTTTTTTGTCAGCTGACAACAATATATCAAAAGCCTTACTAAATTTACTGTCTTATGTTTTATGTCCATCAGGGCTTTATCAGTGTGCGATGACACATCTTCTGAGCTGCAAAGAGTTATTTCTCAAGACAACGGTGATGTGGTATCCCAGGCATCTTTTAGAGGGAGAGGCGCTCTGTCCAGGTAAGAAATATGAATGGTAACACTCATTATTACATCATTAGCTGGACAACCAGACACATTAGGGTGAGGTGGGCTAAAAGGAACCAAAAATGTTCCTTACATTGGCATTGAGTGGGAAGAATGTTCCTTACATTGGTGTTGAATGGGAAGAATGTCCCTTACATTTGTGTTGAGTGGGAAGAATGCTCCTTACATTGGTGTTGAGTGGGGAAGAATATCCCTTACATTGTGTTGAGTGGGAAGTATGTTCCTTACGTTAGCATTGAGTGGGAGGAATGCTCCATACATTGGTGTTGGGTGTGAAGGATGCCCCTTACATTGACATTGAGTGGGAAGAATGTCCCTTACATTGGCCTTTGAATAGGAAGACTGTCCCTTACATTGGTGTTGAGTTGGAGGAATGCTTCTACATTGGTGTTGAGTGGAAAGAATGTCCCTTACATTGGTGTTGAGTGGGAAGAATGTCCCTTACATTGGTGTTGAGTAGGAAGAATGTTCCTTACATTGGTGTTGAGTGGGAAGAAAGTCCCTTACATTGGCCTTGAGTGTGAAGAAAGTCCTTTACATTAACATTGAGTGGGAAGAATGTTCCTTAATGTCCCTTACATTGGTGTTAAGTGAGAAGAATGCCCCTTACATTGGTGTTGAGTAGGAAGAATGTTCCTTACATTGGTGTTGGGTGTGAAGGATGCCCCTTACATTGACATTGAGTGGGAAGAATGTTCCTCAGATTGGCCTTTGAGTAGGAAGAATGTCCCTTACATTGGTGTTGAGTGGGAGGAATGCTCCTTACATTGGTGTTGAGTAGGAAGAATGTTCCTTACATTGGTGTTGAGTGGGTAAGAATATCCCTTACATTGGTGTATAGTGGGTAAGAATATCCCTTACATTGGTGTTGAGTGGGGAGGATGCCCCTTACATTGACATTGAGTGGGAAGCATGTTCCTCACATTGGCCCTTGAGTAGGAAGAATGTCCCTTACATTGGTGTTGAGTGGGAGGAATGCTCCTTACATTGGTGTTGAGTAGGAAGAATGTTCCTTACATTGGTGTTGAGTGGGTAAGAATATCCCTTACATTGGTGTTGAGTGGGTAAGAATATCCCTTACATTGGTGTTGAGTGGGTAAGAATGTCCCTTACATTGGTGTTTAGTGGGTAAGAATGTCTCTTACATTGGTGTTGAGTGGGAAGAATGTTCCTCACATTGGCCTTTGAGTGGGAAGAATGTTCCTCACATTGGCCTTTGAGTAGGAAGAATGTCCCTTACATTGGCATTGAGTGGGAAGAATGTCCCTTACATTGATGTTGAGTGGGAAGGATGCCCCTTACATTAGTGTTGAGTGGGAAGAATGTTCCTCACATTGACATTGAGTGGTAGGAATGCTCCATACATTGGTGTTGAGTGGAAAGAATGTTCCTTACATTGGTGTTGAGTGGGAAGAATGATCTTTGCATGATTCTTGCTGTAAAGTTGTGATACTGCCAAATTCTTCTGCCCCTTTGGCTTCCTGTGATAGGGTGACAACACCAACCACAGGCTCCTTTTGCAGGGCTAGCATTGCCACCCTTACGTGTGCACTGTTAGAGAATTCCAGCCAGCCGTGCCAACACACAGCATGGTTGATAGCTCCCCATTGTCAGCCCAGGGCCAAACTCCCTAATCGCGGCACCTAGGCAAGGGTGATGTCATGGGCCCTCCAGGGAGATCCTGTGAATGCTGAGAATCACAAACCTCGCAAGAAGACAATGTAAAGTGTAAGGTAGTTATATTTTTTTAAACTTCTCTTCTCATCTGTGTTGATTTTTTCTAAGGCAGCATTTTCACATGGGGGGCAGGTGTCTACCCACCAGGTTGACGAGTTGATTAAACTTCAGCTTTAAATGGTAGCATGTGCAAAGATGGGTTACAAAAAGTTTTATGTATGCCGGAAAGGGAAAGCTACTTAATAAACTGTATAAAAGAAGAGTGAATGTTGGCCCCGGGGGAAATGTTTCATCCCTACATAAAGATGATCCATAAGTGCTCTTGATGGTGTGGCTCTACATGTAGCCCTTACCACCATTAGTGGAGTGGCTACTAGAAATGTAGTGATTGCCAGAACTGTAGTCAGTCTGGCTAAATTATAGTTGGCATTTATCCGGTTAATTCCAGGTGTCCTGGCATTGATTGTACATAGTGTGACTTTGCTGCAGTGTGGGACAGCCAATGAGGGGCACTGTGAGTGTGTGTGCAATTCACCAGCCAATCACTGGGGCTCTGACAGCCAGTGTTGCACCCTGGGATATGGCATATATATATATATATTTTGCCATGTGCTCAGTCTAGTCTAGTCTGGCTCCAGCCACGGCTTAATCCAGGTTCGGGTGCTGTCTAGCCTGCCCCCAGGCTAGGTCTGGGGATGAGAATACTTGAGTGCAGGAAATGTTCTGTTAGGCCTCAAGTATGGAGGAGGCCTCTGCTATTGTTGGAGGAGGAGAACCAGGGAAGATGATGGCTGCATACTGGAGGTGCCTGGAACATAGAGGACCTCAGGAGCAAGTCTGGTGTCTCTCCTACTGACGATCCTTTGCCATTCCCTGCTCATCTGTGGCTTGCATGTCTAGCTGGTGTTCCTATTGAATCTACACTCAATTACTAAAAGGTTCTGGTGAGTCTATGACTGTCCTACCCTGGATGCCTAGGATTCCTATACCCTCTCTTCCCAGTGTGAATATGTTATCAAAGTTCTTCAGTATCATACTTCTGGTCTGCATATCAGCTAGAGGCGTGTGATTAATGCTAATGGGGCAGCAGGTTGTTATAATCCCTGGACAGGTTTTTGATGTACCCAGGTATATTTTAGCGGCCCCTGCGGGGGTTGAGCACTTCATACATATAGATGAAATATACGAAACGTGGACGCATTCAGCAATCCGTTTTTTTATTCATCTTGCTCTATCTGCAGGTTTTGATATGTTCACACAATCTATTGGCTGATCAAGCTTTATATGTTACCTTCGTAGGATAGTGCGTCTAGTAGTGGTCCTGCGGGAATGGGCCCATAGGAGCCTGCATGACCAAGATCAAAGGCCCGATTCATTTCTAGACCGATTTCGTGGACCTGAAGAGCAAGCTACTGAAGGAAATGCAGGAAAGGAGAAACAAACTCAAGAAACAAAAGTAGAAGCCAAGACAAAACAACGGTAAGACAAAAAATACTGATTATTCAGATGCAAACAGTATATACTATATATGGCCAAGGTTTGTGGACAACTGACCATCATACCTATATGGGCTTCTTGGACATCTTGTTTCAAAACCAGGTGTATAAAATCAAGTACATAGCCACTCAATCTCCTTGACAAAGATGAGCATACAAAGAGATTTCAGACAATTGTGCTCTTCTAGCCATGTGGTAACAGTTTTGGGAAGGTCTTTTTTCTGTTCCACCATGGTTTGACCAGTTTGGTGTGAAGGAACTTGAGTGTCTTACACAGAGCCTGACCTCAACCCTACTGAACATGACTGTCCCCTGTGTACCAAGCCAGCTCCATATAGACATTGGTTGACCAGTTTGGTGTGGAGGAACTCGAGTCTCCTTCACAGAGCCCTGACCTCAACCCTACTGGACATGACTGTCACCTATATACCCAGCCAGCTCCATAAAGACATGGTGTGACCAGTTTGGTGAAGACCCTTTTCTGTTCCACCATGACTGTCCCCTGTGTACAAAGCCAGCTCCATAAAAACACATGGGTTGACCACTGTGGTTTGGAGGAACTCGAGCGTCCTGCACACAACCCTGACCTCAACCCTACTGAACACTTTGGGATGAACTGGAATGACAATCGCAAGCCGGGTCTTCTCATCCAACATAAGCACCTGACCTCACAAATGGGCACAAATTCCCATAGACACCCTCCAAAATCTTGTTAAAAGCCTTCCTAGTAGGGTGGAGCATGTTATGCACTAAATGGTGACCAAGAGTCATGGACAGAGTGGACACCTCCATATTAATGAGCATGGTTTTGGAATGGGATGTCCAACAAGCTCATACAGGTGTGATGGTCAGGTGTCCACAAACCTTTAGCCATGTAGTGTATATAGTGTATATTTTTATATCTGTAACTTACTACAGCGTGTTAAATGCAAGATATGAAATTAAGCTCATTAAATACATGGGAACCTCAGCTGTAAAACTCATTATGGTAGATGAAGTCCTCCTTTTTGGAAAGGCAATTCAGCACCAAGCTCCTTCAGGAGAATCTGTCACATTGATCATTTAGGGAAAAGTGAAAGGTTCTCTTGAGTGGGCACCCCACCGACTGATACACCACCTCTGTTCCATTTATCTATGGATTTAGACTCATTGGTCAGTGTTGAAGCTTACCCAGCGTTAATGACCCATTGCCCTTCCTCATATGACGTTGTTTGGACCTGGTGAATGTCAACTAAGTTCCAAGTACTGCATCCTGGGAGGAAGCTGAGAAGGTCAGGTGTTTCACCTCCAATGGGATGGGGGGGAACTCTAAGAAAATAACCTAGAGGGTGAAGGGAAAACGGGAGTGCTACACTAATAGTTGCAGAGTCCAAAGATATTTATTGCATCATAGAAGTCCAAAAGGGGCTATAACTTATGCCATTCATCAGGGCTTTAAGTACTGCTTTATAATGGCGCACTCATAGCAGAGGTCAATAAACTTTTGTATATAATAGCTCCTTTACTCCAAAGCAGGTTCCTACTAGGGTCAGAACAAGAGCTCTTTAACCAACTGGGCTGTTGAGCTTCAACATGTGTTTTACCTTTCATTTTCAGTTGGACGTTATCTGAGCGATTTGTGGTTGATCCTTCAGGAAAATGGTATTATCGGTGGCTTCTTGTCATAGCTCTTTCTGTGCTGTATAATTGGTTCCTATTAGTAGTGAGGTGAGTCTGGGTTGCAATCTGAAGGTCCAATACTTCAGTATTTTATCAGACATGGGACTATCTGCGAACCTTGGCCTTGGCTGACTGAGAACAATGCCAAGCCCATCTGCACACATCATTGTCCTTAATGCTGGCACACCAATTCTTAATGGCTAGATGCTAATGCTGGCATCAAAGGGAACACAATAAACCAATCCATTGTTGTAACTACATCCATAGGAGCCCGAGCAGCTGCTATTGGGTCTGGGGGTAGAAGAGGGTCCCAGTTGGGAGTCTATTGAAGCAAATTAAACATATGTATGCCTATGAAGATGTAGCGCTCACCCCCTAAGGAGCCGCTGGAATAGCCCGGGTCATCACTAGTTGTCTAGGGTTTGATCTTCAGCTGCCCCATTAGCATTTAACCGCCCTTCTTCTAGTGCCCACAAAGCTGATGTCCACTCCAGTATTGCAATGCTGAATAACTTTTATTGACATCTTCATACTGGGGAGAGATGGTATAGGGATCCTAGACATCCAGGGTGCAACAGACATAGACTCCAGACTCACCAGACCTTGTTAACATCTCAGTGTAGATCCAGTTGCACTACAGTGAATGGCAATTGGAGTAACGGATGAGCAGGGATGAGCACAGATCCTCAGCAGGAGATACACCAGCCATGCTCCAGAGGTCCTCTATGTTCCAGGCACCTCCAGCAGACATCAGCTTCTCTGGTTCTCCTCCGCTGGCAAACAACACAGGCCTCCTCCATTCTGGTGGCCCCAGGGAAACTCTTTCCACATTCCAGCCTCTGCACACCCCCAGGCTTCAGGCCGAGCCCGGGGAGATGGCTGGACAGCATCCAGCCCTAATTCATGGCTGGTCCTGACTAGTCTGAGCACATGGCAAATCCCGCCAGTATATGCACCCTATCCCAGCATGCACCACTGGTTGAGAGAAACCCAGTGATTGCCTGCTGTACTGTACATTTGCTCACAATGCCTTTCATTGGCTGTCCCACAAAATGTAGCAGTCACACTCTGTCCAGGGGGGTACAGTCAATGCCAGACACCTGGAATTAACCAGATAAATGCCAACTATAATCCAACCAGGCTGACTACAGCCCTGGCAATCGTCAAATGTCTAGTAGCCACATCACAAAAGGTGATGGGGGCTACAAAGATAACACAGATTTTTTTAGGAGTTGGAAAGGTAGCATTTGACAACTCTGAACTCTGTGAAGTCTCTACTCAAGAAGAGCTGACACCAGAAACACTAGAGGAGTCCGGAATGGTGGTGTTGCTAGTCGCAGCTCCCCCTTGCTTCCTCTGTGAATGCATTGTGAGCACGTTTCTAGCAGATCTCACGTTTTATACTTACAGGGTCTTCATAGGTATACAACATGGGGACCTGTCCTGTATTTATTGTATATTGCATGTATTGTAGAGATGTACTGCATAGGTTTTGTTGTAGTTTGCCTTGACATTCGCTTTAGGTTAATTGCACCAAAGGCGGACAACGGTCCCCAAGACACATAGAGAGGGGGGATTTTCCTAGACAGAGACAGCAATAAAGACCTAACGGGTTCTAACCCATTACCAATCCCTACAAAAGTGAAAAAAACAAACAGTTTTGACTTTAGATACACTTTATGGGGATGATTTATAAATGCTGTACCCTGGGTAGATACCGTTCACATTGCACTAGCGTCACTGGATGGAGCTAAGGAGCATAGGAATTTCCTAGGCTTCTTGGCTCCATCTAGTGCGGGTAGTCCCATGTGAACATTTATAAATCAACCTCTGAGTATACTTTTGTTTCCTGTACTCATCCTAATGCTTTACATACAGTCTTTGTTTTTTGTTATAGCCTCCCTCCAAATAATTGTTCCTTCTTGTTCTTTGGCAGGGCCTGCTTTGATGACCTTCAGATCAGTTATGTTATAGCGTGGCTTACCCTGGACTACGTTTGTGACATCATATACATCATTGACATCATAATCCGATTTCGCACAGGTGATTTTAAGCTTTATACAGTTCTGAAAATGGTTCTGGAACCCTCATACTTATACACGGGGTAACAAGGAGAAGCAATAGACCAGTAAAGCCTTCTTAGAAGGTGTTCACATGTTTCATTTTATCCCTTTTTTATCACATATTCTAAATATAAGAGGATTACTCCTCATTTTAGGACAGTGAGCGGATCCATGCAAATCATTCTTGTACGCCCCAACAACCAGCCATAACCTGTAGGGTTACTAGGGATGAGCTCAGATTCAGACCGGGTTCTCACTTGTTGTTTGCCAGAAGACGGGACCATGTGGTTCCGAAACGTCGCTTTACAATGTGACACTATGAGAGGTCAATGAAAATTGACTGAAATTTAAGCTGGAGTGCGAGGCATCCGTAGTCACTTTTGGCACCCACCCGACTCTAAAAGGTTTCTGTTCGGTCAGGAGTTTGATGGGTTCCATTTGAACATCGGTCTGAAGCTAAGCTCCGTCGAAGGCAGAAGGAAGCTGTCGCCCCAATCAGCTGTAGGCGTGAAATTTTCTGTCCGCAGCTGGATGTAAGCAAAGGGACAGGATTCTTTGGCGTTATTGACCTTATATGGCCACGTGGCTATGTTTGGTCAATGACATTGGCCCAATATGGACATGTGGCCATGTTAGGTCAATGATATCAGCACACGCATCCTGCACCTTTGTTTATGTCCATTATGATTGGCTGGGTGGCACTATGTCCCTTCCAGGTTCAATAGAGCTCAGGTTCAGACCAGGTTCAGTCCTACTTAAGAGAAGCCATGGTTTCCATACATTACACTGCTGATGGCCAAAATGCCTGAAACTATTATTGGCTAACTTAGGCTTTTAAAGATACAAGTTTCCAGGATGACTTGGAACCCTTCTTCAGGGTTTATACAATACTGACAATCGTTCTGAAACCCTCATATTTATGCCCAGAGTTACAAGGAGCCGTATGCAGTTTGGGGTGATTGGCTCAATTATATTAGGTTTTTTTTTGCACTATACACAAGCAGTTCTGGATGTGCATTTGGCTGTTGGGCATAAAGGAATGATTTGCATGGCTCCGCCCACTGTCCCGAAATGGGAATGATGCTCTTACTTTTGGGATGTGATGTGATGGAATGAGACATGTGAATACCTTCTGTTTGAAGAAGACATTAGTATGCTACGTACTGGTTTGGTTGACTTGGTTGGAGGGCTTTTTGTTTCCTTTAGGCCCTTCACACCATAACCCAGCAAAGAGGAGCAATGAAATAGAACTGTTAAAAAAATACTATTTTTCCTTGACACACTTGAGTAGTATTGGCTATTGTAAAGGGTGACGGCACTACCTCCTGATGTGAGCAGAGAACCACAGGGTCTGGCCCGAGGGTTCGGGGGCGGCAGAAGCCTGTGGTGTTGTGCCCCCTGGGGGTGGCGTCCCAGGGGTGCTCAGAAAGTCACATGGGTATGGGACCCCACGTGATTCACTGGCACTTGGTCACACACCACCTTGCAATTTTCTGCACTTCGCCTCCTAGACAGGCCTTATGGCTAGTCTGGGGCAATATTTTTGCACTCCGGCCCCTAAGGCCTGTCAGAGTGGTGCACTGGCACTTTAGATTTATTTATGCACTAGATCCACGATTGGCACTTTTTTATTTTACTATTTGACCCACAAATGCTGAAGGTGCAGGTTTCTTCGGGGCCTATTCCTGACGCTGGGAGGAGATTCTGTGCCTCCTATGGGGTTCTCTGTCTCCTCCCACCCAGGAGGGGGGTTTCTCTTCGGGAGATCCCCCCTGCCTAGTACTGTGAGGGACCTGCTCCTGCAGGTCCCCGAAGGAAATGGGTCCACCGGCCTTCGGGTTGGTGGACCAACAGTCTCAACCCCTGTCAGGAGCCTTGCGCCCCGGGGGGTCGGGAAAGTAGGTCCCTTCTTTGGAAGGACCTTGCACCCTTGTGCACGTTTTTGTGTGCTGTGATTTCACCGTTCACTTTTTTTGTTCACAGGGGGAAGTTTTGATGCACGTCCACGGGCTTAAAAAAAAAAAGGGTTAGACTATAGGGAATGTAATTGGGGTTACTGATTAGAGATAAGAAGCCCGGGAACTATTCTCCTATCAAATGAGGGTTCTTTTGGCATGCCCATATACCGGAGAACCAATGAAATACAACTATTAATAGAATACAACTATCTTTCTTGACACATTTGAATGAGAATGGTTATTGTAAGCAATTCAAGCTTAAGAGTGTTATTGGGTTTAGGAGATGAGAAGTCCAGGCACATTTGCCCTGTCATTGAGAATAAGAGTCCTTCAGGAAATTTCCATATACCTTTGAGCACGGTCCTGAGAATAATTAGGCTATATTGTCAGAGATAGATAGATACCTATGAATTATGGATACCTATGATATGGATGCCATTCTTCTCATAAGTACTGTGACAGCCATGGACTCACAGGAAGCTGGTTTGATGATGCTGGGTGTCATTCATCCTGAAAGGGGAGCTAAATCCTAGAGTGGCGAGTCCGTGGGGGACTATCACGTACCTGGTAGAGGACCGATTTGGTTGAGGAGGCCTCCCTTGCGGCTCCTGTCTCACACCCCTGGAAGTGGGGACAGGGAGCAAGCAGACAGAGAGTAGCATAGGTGCCAAGGTGTTCGGGCCCAGTGCCTGGCAAGAGTCCAGCGACAGATTCCCTGGGTAGGTCGGCAGGGCTGGTAGACAGCTGAGGGATCAGCGAGGTCGGCATCAGGAACTGGAGTGAAGTCAAACAAGCCAGGGGTCAAAGCCAGGCAGTCAGCACGGTAGCAGGGGGGAAGGCAGAAGCAGAATCCAGGAACAAGCAGAGGTCAAGGGCAGGCAGCAATCAGTCGAAGTCAAAGCAATCCGGGTCAAGGCAACAACTAATCAAACTTAGCAGGAACGCAGGAACACAAGCTGAAAGACCGTTCAGCACTGATCAATAGAACAGGCCAGTTTATATAGAGCCATCAATCAAAGGGAGACTTGTCACTCCCTGTGCGCCTCGTTAGCACGTCTGTGAAGTTGCGTGCGCACTAGCGCATGTTTTTCGATAGTACGGAAAGCTGGGACCCGCGCATGCGCAGTAGCGGGGGAACTCCCGGCTATAGCCTTACAGGGGCAGTGTTGGAGAAGGGGTGAGTACTGCAGCGTAAGCTACTTTTTGTATTTCTGAAACTGATGGGCTATTTCGTTTTTACACTTCTTTCGATACATGGATTTGGGTTTTAAAGAGATGTGTAGTCATCTCTAGAGTTTGGAGAGAAGTCCCATTTTTCAGAAGTGATGGGAAATCTCTTCAATGGAAATACAGATGGCAGTAAAAATTGATGGGGGGCTGTAACCCATCACCCCCTTTATCCAAAACAAAATAAAAGGTTTGGGCTGGGGTTGATATCAGGATACTATCACGTACCTGAGGAAGAGACCGGAAAACGGGGAGGCGTCTCTTGCGACTCATGCCCTGCGACCCCTGGCGTTGGGGACAGGAGGACGCAGGGCAACGAGGAGCATGAGTGCCACAGGCTGGAGACAGACACCGTGCAGGAGAATCTTCGTAGAGAAGTCAGCAAGCCAAAGGTCAGATCCAGCCGGGAAGCGAAGTACCAAATCAGTAGACAGGAGCAAATCCAGAGAACAGGCCGGGGTCAGGGGCTGGCAGCAATCAGAAGAGTAGTCCAGGGCAATCCAAGCCAAGCAGGTCATGAGTGGAAAAAACAGGAACACAGGTAACAGGCAACACAAGCTGACAAGACCATCAGCAATGAGAGGCAGACAGGCTCATCCTTATATAGTCACAGAATTAAGGCAGCTACCTCACTTCCTGTGCGCCATCCGTCCGCGCGTCTTTCCGCGTACCTCGCCGTAATTGTGCCTCTACAGATACATTTTCTGCACTAATACTTTTTCTTTTTCTGGAACCTTCTACGCATGTACAATTCAGATCTTGACATCTACCTAACTTTTTATTTATCTTTTTGCTCCAGGATTTTTGGAACAGGGGTTGCTGGTCAGAGACACGAAGATGCTGAGTGTCAACTACATCCGTACCTTGCAGTTTAAACTAGATGTTCTGTCCATACTTCCAACTGATCTTGTTTACTTGGCGGTTGGACTGCATCGGGCAGAGCTGCGCTTCAACAGACTTCTGCACTTTCCACGCTTGTTTGAATGTTTCGACCAGACGGAGACCCGGACAAGTTACCCCAATATCTTTAGAATCTTTAACCTAGTTTTATACATCATACTTATTATACATTGGAACGGCTGCATTTACTATGCTATATCCAAGGCCATTGGTTTTGGTACAGATGATTGGGTCTACCCAAATGTGACCGATCCTACCTATGGTAACCTTCATCGCAAATATGTCTATTGTCTGTACTGGTCCACTTTGACTCTCACCACCATCGGGGATACCCCTATGCCTATTACAGATATAGAGTATCTTTTTGTCATTTTTGACTTTTTGATTGGAGTTTTGATCTTTGCCACCATTGTTGGTAATGTCGGCTCCATGATCTCAAACATGAACGCATCGAGGACTGAGTTCCATGCTAAAATAGACGCCATTAAGCATTACATGCAGTTTAGAAAAGTAAGCAAAGATTTGGAGGCCAAGGTCATCCGATGGTTTGACTATCAATGGACCAATGAAAAGACGGTAGATGAAAGGGAAGTGCTGAAAAATCTCCCCGACAAACTGAGAGCCGAAATTGCCATTAATGTTCACCTGGAGACTTTAAAAAAGGTGGGTTGTTTCTTTCAATTTAAATATATATTTTTGGATATCTAATTTCCATGATGCCATAATTATCTTTATTTGTTTTAGAAAATACTTGTGATAATTTAAATGGACAATGTTTCTCATCCCTGACCCATGAACAATGTATACCATCTGGCATCCAACTAGGATAGTTATTAGATTAGTTTTAGGATACCATACTTATCACATTATACTGTATGGCCCAATGTATGTTGGAGACCTAACCGTCACACCTATACGACCTTGTTTGACATCCCATTTCAAGACCATGGGCACAAATGTGGAGTTGACTCTCCCTCTGTGGGATATAACAGCCTCCACACTACTGGAAAGATATTCCACAAGATTCTGGAGTGTGTCTGTGGGAATTTGTTTCCCATTCAGCCAAATTAACATTTGTGGGGTCAGGTACTGATGTTGGATGAGAGGATCTGGCTCATAATTGGCGTTGCAGTTCACCCCAAAGGGATGGAGCTGGCTGTGAATACGGGGGGCAGTCATGTTCAGTAGGATTGAGATCAGAGCTCTGTGCAGGAGACTTTGAGTTCCTCCAAACCAAACTGGTCAAACCATGTCTTTATGGAGCTGACTTTGTGCATCTGAACTCAATTATTCCTATGGAACACCCATGTTCCATAAGGTGTTCCTATGTTCCACAGTGTTGAGGTCAGGGCACTGGTGTGGAGGAACTAGAGCGGCCTTCACAAATTAGTCACACCATGTCTTTATGGAGCTGGCTTTGTGCATCTGCACTCAATCATTCCTATGGAACACCTATGTTCCATACGGTGTTTCTTTGTTCCACAGCGTTGAGGTCAGGGCACTGGTGTGGAGGAACTAGAGTGGACTTCACAAATTGGTCAAACCATGTATTCATAAAACTGGCTTTGTACACACGGGACAGTCATGTTCAGTAGGGTTGAAGTCAGGGGTCTGTGCAGGTCACGAGTTTCTCCACACCAAACTGGTCAAACCGTGTCTTTTATAGAGCTTTTTTTGTACAAAGGGGACAGTCATGGTGCAACAGATAAGGACCTTCACCAAACTTATCTCAATGTTGGAAGAGCACAATTGTCTGAAAGTCTTTGTTTGCTGTAGCAATACCCTAACCCTTTATTGGAAACACCTTGACTCAATCATTTGGAAAGGGGTTCCCACATATAAGTAGGTGTGATGGTCAGATGTCAATAAACTTTTGGCCACGTAGATTATTTTGTCTATGATTCTATGAAGAGAAATGGAAAACTTGTAGTCTTAATAATTATTAGAATGTGTTTATTAAGGAACAAAGGTTCGGGATGACCTACTCAGAGATTGTAAAGCTGTATAAGTCCTAAAGCATTGATGTGACTCCGAAAAAGACAGGTCATCAACGCCATTATGGAAATCAATGGAACAGGCCACAGTAAGATGACTTCCTTACATCAATCATGGACAACAAAGAGTTACACATATTGATTAGTATAAAAAGGGCACAACTGCTATTACACACATTAAAAAGGGTTACGGCCACTGGTTGTTCAAAGTATCCAAATGCTAAAGGTGCGAATGCTTGACCAGATGACCACCCTACAAATCTGCCCCTCCGTTGCTTTAACCCTTCTCTGCCAAAGATTTTTAAAAAATCTCTAATGGGTTGAGATTTAACATCATGATGTACCTAAAAAATTATAGGTATTTACACGGTGCTTTACATACTATTCATTCACATCAGTTCTTGCCCCCAAAGGAGCTTACAATCTAAGGTCCCTCACATGCATCACTCTGCCACATAAATGTTTTAAGTTTTTGATACATTTGCACCTCTGATTCACACACGCTATGTTTATGTCCCAGGTGCGGATCTTCCAGGACTGTGAAGCCGGTCTCTTGGTCGAGTTGGTCCTCAAGCTCCATCCTCAGGTTTTCAGCCCCGGCGACTATATCTGCCGTAAAGGGGACATTGGCAAAGAGATGTACATAATCAAGGAGGGGAAGCTTGCCGTTGTCGCAGAGGATGGAATAACTCAGTACGCAGTTCTCACCCCTGGGAGTTGTTTTGGTGAGATTAGCATCCTCAACATCGAAGGAAGTAAGATGGGAAACCGAAGGACTGCCAGTATTCGCAGCCTAGGATACTCGGACCTTTTCTGCCTTTCGAAGGACAACCTGATGGAAGCTTTGGTGGAGTATCCAGATGCCAAGAAGATCTTGGAAGAGAGAGGAAGAGAGATTCTAACCAAGGAAGGTCTGCTTGATGAGACGAAGGAGAAAAACACTACGAAAGGTAAATCTGCCGAAGAAAAACTGGAGCTTCTGGAATCCAACCTGGACCTGTTACACACTCGATTTGCCCGTCTGCTTCGGGAATATAGTTCTGACCAGCAAAGCCTCAAACAAAAGGTCACCCTCTTAGAGGGAAGATGGAAGGACTTGCTAGAGTGAGATGTGTCTTCAGATGACATGTAGAGGAAATGTACCTACTAGAAAAAAAAAAACTATATTCCTGCTTCATGAAAGGTTTCTTGTGTAAAAAATCTTTGGAATCTAAATTAAACAAAAACTTTGCTTGAGCACTCTTATTTGTAAAAAAAATTTACTTTTTCAACTTTCATAGTCTTTACGACTGCAACTTCTACGACTTCTATGCGTTTGATGTCCTGGGAATAATATCTTAAAAAACCTGCTTGAGACCTACAGTAATTTAATGGCTAGCTCCAGGATAATTTACACCCCCACACGCACGCACACACACTGATTTCTGAGCTGAGGAAAAACCTAAGTCCCATTCTTCACTTGATCATTCAGAGCCAGGTCATTCTCCTCTTCCCCCTCTACTCCCTGCTGGGGTTCTTCATCCAGGAGTCCACATCACTGTCTGCATGCATGATATAGAACAGTGAGGAACCTTGGTTGGGACCCAGAAGACTACTGCCATTGGCCCAAGGGGTGTCAAGGGAATAATATCTTTAAAAAACCTGCTTGAGACATAATTTAATGGCCAGCTCCAGTATAGTTGAACCCCCCCACCCACCCCCTCCCCACACACACAGGCACACTGATTTCTGATCAGAGGAAAAACCTTTCTAAGTCCCTTTTTTCACTTGATCATTCAGAGCCAGGTCCTTCTCCTCTTCCCCCTCTACTCCCCGCTGGGGTCCTTCATCCAGGAGTCCACATCACTGTCTGTATGACATGGACAACTCCTATTGGCTTTCCTCCTGGAGGAGCCTGGGTCAGGACCCAGAAGACTACTACCGGGAGTGTGACTCTAACGCCTGGAAGGTCATTAGTGGGGTTGGGAAAGAGCTAGATGATGCTTGGGCTCTTCCAGTCAGGGCTCTGCCTGACCTGCTGCTGATTCTAATGCACTTTGTAAGAAGCAGTGAAATCAGAGCAAGCAATGTCAGCCCAGGAGAGGAGCCGGTACAACAAGTCCGAAGGGAAGGCTGTGTACAAGGAATCCAATTGTGTTACATCCTTTCATGTGTATTCCCTCTCTTTAGTATACAAATACATCGTGCAAATGATATGTTGTTCAAACTTTTAACAAACAGTCCCCTTGCCCCTTTTCATGGCACTGACTTTTGTATATGGCAGTAATAGTTGGATAATTAAATCCGGTGGGATTTCAGCTTGAGATCACTCGTCACCTCATCATGGGTTGAGCATACGGTTGCTTAACAAATGCCTGATCTCTAGGGGAATAGCCAGGCAACCGTGTAATCTGGCCTTGTCACTAAAGAACAAAATGTGCTAATAGAACACGCTGCAACATCCAAAGACCTTTCCCGAGGAAAACAATAGGCCTGCACATTGCAGATTTCAGCACTGATATGGGTTAAAGTCCAGATCCAGGCTGTTTTATAAAAAAAAAGAACCTGCAGTACCTCTTCTTCTAAGTCTTCCAGGTTGAGTGACGCTGGGCATTGAGACTGTGGGTGCAGGGCATCATGGGCATGCCCCCAGAGGTGGTGTCACCGGGGCACACTGCATTTTAGTGAGATCAAGCACTCTTGGGCAAGGGTATTTATGGTGGGGCTTGAGTATCAGATATAACCCCATAATTTAGGTGAGATCAAGACCTCGTGGACAAAGGGATGTCTGCACTGGGCAATGGGCATTCATGGTGGGACTTGAGTATCAGATATAACCCCATCATTTAAGTGAGATCGAGACCTCGTGGACAAAGGAATGTCTGCATTGGGTATTTATGGTGGGGCTTGAGTATCAGATATAACCCCATCATTTAAGTGAGATCGAGACCTCGTGGACAAAGGAATGTCTGCATTGGGTATTTATGGTGGGGCTTGAGTATCAGATATAAACCCATCATGTCCCAATATCAAGACCTCTTGGACAAGGAGATGTCTGCACTGGGCATTACTGGTGGTCTTGAGTATTAGATATGACCCCATCATTGAACTGAGATCAACATCTCTTGGACAAGGGGATGTCTGCATTGGGCATTTATGGAGAGCTTGAGTATCAGATATGACTCCATCATTGAACTGAGATCAAGACCTCTTGGACAAAGGGATGTCTGCACTGTGCATTCATGGTGGGGCTTGAGTATCAGATATGACCCCATCATGTCCCAATATCAAGACCTCTTGGACAAAGGGATGTCTGCACTGTGCATTCATGGTGGGGCTTGAGTATCAGATATGACCCCATCATTTAAGTGAAATCAAGATCTCTTGGACAAGGGGATGTCTGCACTGTGCATTCATGGTGGGGTTTGAGTATCAGATATAACCCCATCATGTCCCAATATCAAGACCTCTTGGACAAAGGGATGTCTGCACTGGGCATTACTGGTGGTCTTGAGTATCAGATATAACGCCATCATTAAACTGAGAACAAGAACTCGTGGACAAGGGGATGTCTGCATTGGGCATTTATGGAGGGCTGGAGTATTAAGGTATAACCCCATAATTTAAGTGATATCAAGAACTTGTGGACAAAGGGATGTCTACATTGAGAATTTATGGTGGGGCTTGAGTATCAGATATGACCCCATCATTTAAGTGAGACCAAGACCTCGTGGAACTCTTGATTCATAATGCGTCGCACATCGGACAGCTACACAACCGACGTTCACACTGCATTACTGCCATTAGATGGAGCCGAGGAGCAGAGGAAACGCCTAATATACGATGTGTGAATGCGTTATCAATCAGCCTCTTTGTGTTTCAGTGCAAACCAAGGTGAAAAGGATTGAGTTTTATTGTTCAGAATAGAGCTTTTTTTCCCCCTATTTTACAAAGTCATAAATACTCAGAAAAAAGTGTTATAAAACCAGACAGAGCTTCTATCAAAAGTAATGTGACTAACTACCACAGGTCATCAGCTGAATGCTATTATGACAGGTATGAAAGCAGCCTTTGGTGGCCGCTGCTCTTGGATTCTTAACTCCTATAGACAACCTCAGTCAACCAAGTAATGCTATATAGAGCAGCAGTCGCCAAACAAGGGGTCCGCGAGAAAATTTTGGGGCCCGTCTGATGCCGTGCATGCTGGGCCGTCATTGAAGCGGCATGGAGGCTCCGGGGCTGCCTCTCACTGACTCGAGCAGCGGCTGTCACAAGGAATGCGCAGCTCTCAGTACAGTGCGGGCTCTGCAGGAGGCGGGGCCAGTGGAAGATTCGATAGGGGGGGAAACAATATTATTACTGGGCCAAGGGCGGTCATATTAGTGGTCCGCGGGATTTAAAATTATGAATTCAGTGGTCCATGAGGTCTGAAAGGTTGGAGACCACTGATATTGTCAGGGAACCAGGGGTGTTACCTCCCCGCAGGGTCAACGGGCACGGCGTAGGGTATGGGTCTCCCTCCAGCCTGGAAGAACCACTGGCGCCCGGGTTGCTCGTGCACGTGCGCAATACACAGGCTGCGCACGCAACCCTGGAAGCGGGTTTGCCCATTTAGGCCTTAGTTGTGGGCCTTGCTGGGTGAGGTTCCCAGCCCACACATACCACCTCTCGCCTGCCATTGGCTCTCGGGGAGAGAAGCCTCCTGGTTGCCTCGGTGACAGGGGGGCGGACTTACACCCCCTGGCTATAAAAACCTGGCCGGAGCTCTGGCTTGTTGCTGAGTTATTCCACCTTATGGTGTGACTGACGAAGCTCCCTTACCTGTGTGCCTTACTGCCTGTTTTCTGAACCCCCCCCAATCCGATCTCACGTGTACCGACCTTGGACCGACCATCGCCTCTGACCCTTCGCTGCCCGTCTCGACCCGGATTGACCCTGACTACCCCTTTTGGCTTGCCCCTTTGTACCTTGCCTTCGGACCTTTCAGGCTGCTTCCTGCCAGCAGGTTCCTCCACGCTACCGGCCCGCGTGTACGTCTGATAGCGCCTGACAGATAAAGAGGGGCAAATACAAATCTTTCACAGGTTGTCCTGCAGAGTTTTAATGGTGTCAGATTAAAAAGATTTTGCATGAGTGACAGGTTCTCTTTCAAGTTATTTTGGAGGTTGAAGATAGAAAATGAGGCTCACGGTGGACTTTGTTTAATTTAAACAGTTGTGTTGCGCAAAGTTCATTTGGGACGAATGAAGGAGTCACTATGTAAAGTTGATGAAGTCCAGGTCTCGTACCATCGTGAGGATCAGTTCCAGCGTCTCTGTATCAGCCATAAATTTGGCTTGTCCCGATTTGTCATTCACTGTATGGGGGAGATGCAGCCCAAGCTTACTGTGGAAGACCGACAGAGAGTTAGTGTGATCTACAGACAGGTGGTAAAACTCTTCGGTATAGAAACACCGGGCGGGAAGACGAGCATGGATGGGGGAATATCAGTTCTAAGGAATCCCTTATGAAGGTTTTTTTTACATACATAGGTGGGCACCAGCTATAAAGCTGAACTCCGGGCACAAAAACCTTCATTTAACCCCTTAGTGACTGAGGCCTTTTCCCCCCGTTTTTTTGTACCCATGATATAATCCACATTTTAGGCCTGAAAAATACTTCAACCCTGCCGACATGATATATTTTCTGGAGGCCGAGGCCCGTAGAATAAAATGGTGGCAGATTAAAATGTTTATATTGCACGATATTAGCGTAATGTATTATCAAACCCCAAATGTAGTGAAAAATGCCCTTAAAATGCCCAACAACACAATTAAATTCCCATTTTTAAAAAAAATATATAAAAGATGAGGTCACAACGTGTAAATAGATACCCAACATGCCCAGGTTAGAAATTGTGTGCGTCCGTGAAACTCCGACAAAATTCAGTACTTTAAAAAGGTTACAAGCCCCCATGTGATAGCAGATTGACAGTGACAGGTACTCTTTAAGGTGATGCTGGGGGTCCAAAAGACCCCTAGTGTCACATTTACACTCTAAATAAGCTATTGGGGTGCAGATCACACTTCAATCGCTTATTGCTGGGCTTCAGGAGCCGACCAATGGCTGGAAGTGATGTAATCAGCATCGCTCCCGGTCCCATAGAACGGGGAGGGGGGGGCGGCCTGTTTACCGGCCCGGAGAAGCGATCTGGAGGCAGCTGAGTCGCCTGATCGCTTCTATTGTAAAGCCGACAGCCGATTGGCACTTATTTATTTTTCTCTGCAAGGATGAAGGGTGCGGGTTTTTGGGCCTACCCTGACATCAAGATCAAGAACTCTTGGAGAAGGGGGTGATTGCATTGGGCATTCATGGTGGGGCTTGAGTATCAGACATAAACCCCACCATTTAGGATACAACAAGAACTGGGCATTTACGGTGGGGCTGGCTTGGGGGTGCGGGTCTTTGGGTCTACCCTGACATCAAGATCAAGAACTCTTGGACAAGGGGATATCTACATTGGGCATTTATAATGGGGCTGGCTTGAGGGTACGGGTCTTTGGGCCTACCCTGACATCAAGATCCAGAACCTTTGGACAAAATGTTGTCTGCATTGGGCATTCATGGTGGGGCTTGAGTATCAGATATAAACCCATCTTTCAAGATACAAGAACATTTGGAAAAGGGGATGTCTGTTTTGAGCATTTACGGTGGGGCTGGCTTGAGGGTACGGGTCTTTGGGCCTACCCTGACATCAAGATCAAGAACTCTTGGACAAGGGGATGTCTGCATTGGGCATTTATGGTGGGGCTGGCTTGAGGGTGCGGGTCTTTGGTCCTACCCTGACATCTAGGGGTATGATGTGTGCCCAACATCTTCCTTCTTTCCCCTCTCTTTGGGAGAACCCAGTAGAGTGCCCTGTCCCTGTCAAAAACCTATACACCCTGTTCACCTTTTTGTGTGTGTGTCCACAAGCACCCTTTGGTTCACTAGGGGTTTCGTTTTTTGCCCACCCACCGCTGGAAAAGTACCACCTATGGTAGCCCTAAGATAAATACAGCTGCCAGGTAACTCTGCTGTAATCCAAGGCTCCTCACCACCTAAAGAATTCTTCACATTTACCATGAGGCAGTCTAAATCCCACCGGGGTCATTTTTGAAGCACTTGATGTGATGAAAGGGGTACCCAATATACAATGAGGAAATTCTTCACAAGAGTTACTTACTATTTGGGAGTACGGAGGTTGATGTAGTTTTTCTTTACGTCGAGTGAAACATCAGCGACGTTCGTGTCGGGAAGCTGGACACGGATCTAATAAAAAATTAGTCATTGTGATTTGTACGGATATAACAAAAACAAAAAGTTGGGGTTTGATTGGTGGGAATGAAAGTAGAACCCCAGCAAGGTAGCTATATACTGTAAGAAAGGTCTGATTTGCAGGCGCGCATGCACGAGCGGCACCGGTGTTGGCGCCAAATGGACTTTATAAATTGGAACACGGCTGAGTGGTCTTCAGCTACTTCCTGGTGACCTGCAACCTAACCTGCTGTCCTGTGTAGGACCCGGCTTACCTTGTGACCTGCTTTTGGACCTTTGCTTACCCATTGTGACCTCAACCTGCTTGCTTGAACCAGCTTGTACTTCCGCTATTTGGTCATTACAGTTCTCAGCTTGAAACCTTGACTCTGATCCAGTCTCCTGAATGGATCTCTTCACTGCACAACGGTCACTGACCTTGGCTTGTATCTAGTTTACGTTCCTGTGGCCTGCTCTGGTCCCCCTGGTGTTCCTGAGTCTGGTTCCTGTCTGAGGGTCTACGGCCACCTGGTTCATGCACCTACCAGCCTCAACAGATCCGGTACTGCCTGCAACACTGGTGCTAGTGTCACTCCGTGTCCTTGATTTGCTTGTTCCCACTTCGACAGGCAATACAAGGACACTTGGACAGGAGGCAATACAAGGACACAAGGGCAGGAGGCAATACAAGGACACTAGAGCAGGAGGCAATACAAGGACACTAGAGCAGGAGGCAATACAAGGACACTTGGGCAGGAGGCAATACAAGGACACTAGAGCAGGAGGCAATACAAGGACACTTGGACAGGAGGCAATACAAGGACACTTGGGTAGGTGGCAATACAAGGACACTTGGACAGGAGGCAATACCAGGACACTTGGACAGGAGGCAATACAAGGACACTTGGACAGGAGGTGCAAGACAGGACCCCTGGCCATCTAGGTATCCACCATATACATAGATAAAATACACACAAACTATTCCACATTACTTATAATTCTACAGTATGCAGCCTCTTGATTGTACCCCTTCCATGCTATGCAGCCAGATTGTAATATCACTGTTGAGAACCTGCAGCCTCTTGTGTGACCTTCACAGCTCTTACCAGAAGAGTTGACTATAAATAGGAGTCATCCCAAAGATAACATCTCTCTGCCCTCCCCCCTCCTGTAAGTCTGGCTAAACACTTCCCATTCCAGTCCAGATTCCAGATGGGACTTGTAGTTCCACAACAGATCGCGTGCCAAGGTTGCCAACCCTGCATTAGACGGTATTAGGAGAAGCTTCCAATGCTTACCACCATATCCTCACAGCAAGCGGTTGACGGGTCTTTTCGACTCAGGCCCAAAAACATATCTTCTGAGCTAACTCTTTGCTTAAAAAGGATTTCGTATCTGTGAACAGAACAGCGTAGACGTTAGTGATGACTGCGGATGAAGGAGATAAGTACCTTAGATAGACTTGCACTGTATGGCCAAATATTTGTGGACACCTGACCATCACCCCTATATGAGCTTGTTGGACAATCCAAAACCATGGCCATTGATGTGGAATCGATCTCCCTTTGTGGCTATAACATCCTTCACTCTTCTGGGAAGGCTTTCCACAAGGAGGGTGTCTGTGGGAATTTGTGCCCATTTGTGAGGTACTAATGTTGGATGAGAAGACCTGACTCACAACTGGCAAACCAGTTCATGCCAAAGGTGATCAGTAGGGTTGAGGCCAGGGCTCTGTGCAGGACACTCAAGTTCCTTCACACCAAACTGGTCAGACAATGTCTTTATGGAGCTTGGATTGTGCACCTGACCTCAATATTTCCTATGGAACATCTATGTCCCATAAGGTGCTCCTATGTTCCACAGAGTTGGGGTCAGGGCTCTGGTGTACAGGAACTGGAGTGGCTTTCACAAACTGGCCACACCATGTCTTTATGACTTTGTACACAGGGCACAGTCATGTTCAATAAGGTTGAGGTCAGGGCAGGAGACTCGAGTTCCTCCAAACCAAACTGGTCACACCATGTCTTTATGGAGCTGGCTTTGTGCACCTGAACTCAATAATTCCTATTGAACACCCATGTTCCATAAGGTGTTACTATGTTCCACAGTGTTGAGGTCAGGGTTCTGGTGTGGAGGAACTAGAGTGGCCTTCACAAACTAGTCAAACCATGGAGCTGGCTGTGAATATGGGGGACAGTCATGTTCAGTAGGGTTGAGGTCAGGGCTCTGTGCAGGACACTTGAGTTCCTCCACACCAAGCTGGTCACACCATGTCTTTATGGAGCTGGCTTTGTACACAGGGGACAGTCATCTTTAGTAGGGTTGAGGTGTGTGCTGTGCAGGACACTCAAGTTCCTCTACACCCAACTGGTCAAACCATGTCTTTATGGAGCTGGCTGTGTATATACAGGTGAAACTCGAATAATTAGAATATCGTGCAAAAGTAATTGCAGTAAGTGCTGCAAAAGGGGCCCAAACCAAGTACTGAGTACATATGCATGCTTGTACTTTTCAGAGGTCCGATATTGTTCTATGTACAATCCGTGTTTTATTGATTGCATGTAATATTCTACTTTTTTGAGGTTGTGGATTTGGGGTTCTGGGGTTTTCATGAGCTGTAAGCCATAATCATCACAATGATGACAAATCACGGCTTGAACTATCTTGCTTTGCATGTAATGAGTCTCTCTCATATATTAGTTTCACCTTTTAAGTTGCATTAGTGAAATAAATGAACTTTGCACGATATTCTAATTATTCAAGTTTCACCTGTAGAGGATGGTCATGTTCAGTCAGGTTGAGGTCAGGGCTCTGTGCAGGATACTCGAGTTCCTCCAAACCAAACTGGTCCCACCATGTCTTTATGGAGCTGGCTTTGTGCCCCTGAACTCAATAATTCCTATTGAACACCCATGTTCCATAAGGTGTTCCTATGTTCCAGTGTTGAGGTCAGGGCTCTAGTGTGGAGGAACTTGAGTGGCTTCACAAACTGGTCACACCATGTCTTTATGGAGCTGGCTTTGTACACAGGGGGCAGTCATGGTGGAACAGAAAAGGGTCTTCACCAAACTGTTACCACAAGGCTGGAAGGGCACCACTGTCATGCCTCATCTAAATGGCTAGGTGGTGGGGTTGAGACAGATCTGGTGGGGACATCTTGCAAGCGGAGTTAACAGAGTCCAGTGGGTGGCAAAAACAGCCTTTTTTTTTTGTCATGGACAATCACTGCCAGATGGAGGGGATGACATCACAACTCCCTCTAAGCTCTGACACCAGCTGACGCTGTGTATTTTGCACTGGCTGTGACACAGTCAGGAGCTGTGAGGGAACACTGGGAAGTGGAGCATAAGGTTTGCTCCGAGGTAAAAGGCAGGGGAAGGGGGGATGTGGGCCAAGGGGCATGGGCAGATTTGTGGGGGTCACCTGGGAAACCAAAGTTGCCTGGGAACGTGGAATTACCCTTAAAGGAAAAAACGGCGAAACAGAACCGTTGGGACTTACTCCGGCTTTTCTCTGGGATCCAAATAATCATCGAATTCTGCCCCTTCCTGGACCTCCGACTCGCTCCAGATATCCTTGTCGTCTCTTCCTGTCTGAGCTGTCCAATGTAAGCAAAGGGCTGGTCATTCAAGATGGCGGAGGCAGTTAAAGGACTATAGTTAAAAAGATGAAAGGGCATGAAAGGGTTAAAGCCCCTGGAGGTTTATTTTCAGCTGTCTGTGTCACATTGGGGAGATTTCCCTTCACTTCCTGTCCTGTTGCCACCAGAGGAAATGAGAGCAAAGTGATTGAAATTGCCCTCTTAGACAGTTGTCACCGGAACAAGTTTCCCCAGTGGAAGATGTCCTCTCTGTTCCTGTTCTGGTGACAAGTGTAAAAAATTTTATGGCTATACGTAATATCTTAGGCAGAACTCCAGCCAGAAATAAGACACAAATACATATCCCATTATAGAACAAGGCCTGGGGGCGGGTCCAGGATGACCCGGGCTCAGAGGAAGTGGGTTGATTGATGCTGGCCATCAGACAGAGGACATCTAGTGGCAGCTTTTCCTACAATATTCAGCTTCAATCCAGAGATTTTCCCTGCAGTACCTTTTTCTGCCACTAGATGTCCTCTGTCTGATGGCCAGCATCAATCAACCCATCTATAGGCAGGGGGCGGGTCCAGGATGACCTAGGCTCAGTGAAAGTAGGTTGATTGGCTGGCATTACTTAACCTATTTATAGGGTGGGGGTGGGTCCAGGATGACCTGAGCTCAGTGGAAGTAGGTTGATTGGCTGGCATCACTTAACCTATTTATAGACTGGGGGCGGGTCCAGGATGACCTGGGCTCAGTGGAATCGGGTTGATTTAGCTGGCAATCGACCAACCTACTTCTACTGAGCTTGGGTCATCCAGGACCCGCCCCCAGTCTGTAACTGAACAGTAATAGGAGAAGCAGCACAGTGATAAGCTCATCTCCCTGTCACTCTGCTCTCTCCTCCTATCAGCATGCTTCTTCCTCTCATGCTCAAGCCAGGTCACACTCAGGTACTTACACAGCTTGCATTCAATATTTACATTTAATGATCACAGAGCTGCTTCAATGTGTGTCCCGCCGGAGTTCACCTTTAATAATACTTACATGTTGCAGCGCTTTGTTGAAGATTTGTCACAGATCCAATGTCCCCGGGACCGACAAAAGCAGAAGAGGAAGGACACTAAAAGAACAACAAAAAATATTTATATATGTGAATCCTCGGTTGCTAGGACAGAGGCGGCCCACCATGTCATCTGTTGCTATGGTGCGCACACCTGCATCTAGCAACCGATGATGTTGTGCGGCCCAGTGACCTAGCAACCGATGATGTTGTGCGGCCCAGTGACCTAGCAACCGATGATGCTGTGCAGCCCACCTGTATCCTAGCAACCGATGATGTTGTGCAGCCCAGTGACCTAGCAACCGATGATGTTGTGCGCCCACCTGCGTCCTAGCAACCGATGATGCTGTGCAGCCCAGTGACCTAGCAACCGATGATGTTGTGCGGCCCAGTGACCTAGCAACCGATGATGTTGTGCGCCCCAGTGACCTAGCAACCGATGATGTTGTGCGGCCCAGTGACCTAGCAACCGATGATGTTGTGCGGCCCAGTGACCTAGCAACCGATGATGTTGTGCGGCCCAGTGACCTAGCAACCAATGAAGCTGTGAGAGACGCCTGTCAAGTGCAGCATAACCAGACTGTCTTTCACAATTGGCCTCCAGACTGCGCCATCTGCTGGTCATTGCTCAGCACTGCAGGTCCGGTCTCTGTAGCGCACACCTGTCCTTAATCAAGGAGGTTTAATCAGAGTGCTGGACACAGCCTGGGCCTGATCAGCAGGTTTGTAACCAGAGCTTTAACCCCTTCATGACCAGTGACGTACAGTGTCCCGGGCCCATTTAAACAGACTCAGCCGCCGGGACTCTGTATACATTTGTACATTTGTACAGTAGAAGCGATTCTGGCGGCTCAGCTGATCGCTTCTACGGGCCGGTAAACGGGCGCCCCCACCCCCGCCGTGTTTTCCAGACTTCCTGTCCTTGAGCTGTCATTGGTCGGCTCCTAAAGCACAGCAATATGATATTGAAGTACGATCTGCACCCCAATAGCTTATTTGTAGTGTTTAGCAATAAAGTAAAAAAAAAAACTGTTTTTAAAATGTTTATTAAATAAAAGAAATGTAAAAATAATTACAAATGTTTTTTTAAAGTCCCCCGCGAGCATGCGCATCTTCACGTAAACACGTGTTGGGTGTGCGACGATTGCGCTACACATGATGGGTATCGCCATACTCGCTGGAGTGAGAGCAATAATTCCGGGGCCACTATTTGCACGTATCTCAAAACTGATGACCTGTGGGGGGCTTTTAAAGCGTCATCTATGGACTTTTTGGGGTACTGAATTCTGTCGCGTTTTAACGGACGCACGCAATTTGTAACCTGGGCATGTTGGGTATTTATTTACTTATTGTTTATATTTTATTTAAGAAATTGGTATTTTATTGTGTTTTGGGGCATTTAAGTGCATTTTTCACTAAATTTTAGGGTTTGATAAGGAGTTGCGCTAATATCGTGCAACGTAAAAATTTGCAGCTGCCGCCATTTTATTCTACAGGGTCTCGGCTTTCAGAAAATATATCATGTTTGGGGGGTTTGAAGTCATTTTCAGGCCTAAAATGTGGATTATAACACAGGCGCAAAAAATGAAATAAAGGCCTCAGTCATGAAGGGGTTAAATAATGACATCATGACTAATAACAACCCAAATGGTCATATATATATAATAAAAGCGTTATATACTCACTGTCACATGACTTTCAGGCCCCGCCTCCTCTTCAGAAGGGTCGTGAAGCAGGGCACACAGGCCTTGCATGGACCATGTGTTGGAGAAGTCACCTAGATACGCGTCCATGTCTGCTCTGCAGCCGCGGGTTGAGGAGACATAAAATAAACGCACGCATGACTACAAAACAACCGACAGAAATCACAGCCGTCGCCATCTGCTGGTCATTACTCAGCACTGCAGCCTCGGGTCTTTGCACCCCTGCCCCAATCAAGGAAGTTTAAGCAGACTGCTGGACACTCAGCCTGATCGGCAGGTTTAACGGACTGTTCACACTAGATGCAATGCGTTCCGGCCCGATTCTAGCCAGAACGCACTGCCTCGCATTGCGGACGGCTCACTTTTTAGTGGGGCAAGAGGGGGCGTGGCGGGTCATTCGAGTTAGTGGTACCGTAGCCACGCCCTCCGGTCGCATTGCGGCCGGCTCAATTTTTAGTGGAGCAGGAGGGGGCGTGGCAGGTCATTCAAGTGAATGGCACCGTAGCCACGCCCTCCGGCCGCATGTGGGGGCGGCTCAATTTTTAGGGGAGCGGGGGGGGGCGTGGCAGGTCATTCAAGTGAATGGCCCCGTAGCCACGCCCTCCGGCCGCAATGCGACCGGCCGCATGGGAACGCAAGGCACATTATGCCTGCGGTCCGGTGTGATCAAAATGCTGCAAGCATCGCACCGGACCACAGCCATAATGTTCCTTGCGGTCGCATTGCTGCCAGAGGGCGTGGCTACGGTGACATTCACTTGAATGGCCCGCCGCGCCCCCTCCTGCTCCACTAAAAAGTGAGCCGGCTGCAATGCGAGGCAGTGCGTTCTGGCTAGAAGTGGCTGCTAAGAGGCTGAGGGGTTTAGAACCCCGGTGAGCTTTTTATGGCTGCCTGTGTCCCTGCTGGTGGAGAGTCACCCCCTCTAATGACAACTGTTAAAACGCTGAGCGGAAAATCCACACTGTTGTCACCAAGGAAGCAACAGAGGGAAGTTCCCCCAATGGGGACACCACCGGTTCCAATGACAACTTCACCCCTTACTTTGGAGAGATCTCCTCTTATTTCCTGTTGTGTCTACAGGGCAGGAAGTAAATGGAAATCTCCCGGCGCACCCACCTGCGTCTTAGTAACCAATGACACTGCGCGGCCCATCCATGACGCTGCTAGTGGGCGTTACTAACGCTGGAGTAACGCCCACAGCAATGTTTGGGCGTGCTAAGCTCCGCCCTTTGCTACATCCAGTTAAAACTCGGTCTCACACCCCTTGTGGGCGGAGCCGCAATGTTTGTTGGGACATATGGTCCCTGCGGGGGCCCATTCTCATTTGCGGTGCGTCACGTGCATTAGCGCGTTGTGGCGCCATCAATTTACAATGGTGCCCCGGCGCGCCCAGCCAACCAATCAGCTTCTGCCTTTCATTTTCAAACCTTAACTGCACGAATTGAAGCGAGAAGCTGATTGGTTGCCATGGGCAACCGCTCCAGATTGTGTCTGTTCCAGTTTTGATAAGTCCCCCCCCCTCCAGAATGTATTTCTTGCATGTGTCAAATCCATAGAGCTCCCAAGTGATGCAGCCAGTAAGAGGATAGGAAGGACGTGCATACACCCACAGGGAAGACCAGGGACCGGGATGACACTCACCTTCCTCCTGTGGACGAGATTTTTGCACCGGCTTGTATTCAGCGCATCTTCGTTGCCGAGGTAACCGTCCGAAATATGGGGGG